AATCAGTAGTAATAAAAACAGAATTGCTAAGTGATAGAAAAATAAGAATTAAAAAAAAAATTGAAAACGTATTTTCAAATTTGTCATTACCGTAAAATTTTTCAATTTTTTGCAAAATTTAGCAAAACCAACGAATTTAAAGCAGAATGATTTCGGTGAAGCATTCAACTAAAAAAGTATAAAAATTTCAACTGGTTAAATGTAATACCTTTATCAAAAAAAAAAAAAAAAAAGCTGTGAATGCATTAATATTCTTAACAGCTTTTAGCAAAAAAAAGAAACTTGAAATTATTTGAGCGAAAAAAATAGAACAGATGCACACAGATATTAATTAACTATGTCAATAACCTACCAAAAAAGTAAATCAACTTATTTACCTATTTCCTTCCTAAAACAATCAGTTCAGATAGACAAATAAAAAAAACATCAGTATTTATCACTTGATCAAAATTTGTCAACCATCTCAAATTTGTTGAAGTTATAAAAATTTTCCCAGCTGTTATCTTTCAAAACTCACTTTTTTTTTTGTCCATTAAAACAACAGCTTTTCATTACCGGTAGATACTGAATAAAAATTTCAAAAATAAATATATATATATATATATATATAAAGTCAAAAATTAATCTAAAATTTCATTTAAAAAAGTAAAAAATATAAGAAACACAACTTCCAACGTTCAATCCATACCTACTTTTTTTTAAACGATCTTTCCTTCAAAGCAGTAAAATAATTTTATATCCAACAAAGCCAACAAATTAAAAGACATTCCATGGAAGAACTTTTGAAGTTTTGGAGCTATCCTAACTTCAAAACTTTTAGGACTCCTGACGCGCTAAAAGTTATGCTGGAAACCAAGCTTGTCTAAAATAAAACCACCATCAAAGATAAAAAACAATTCTACGGTTATCATCCTTGAAAAACAAGACAGTAAAACTGGGTATATGGAAAAAGTACGTACAGAAGGAAGTGGCAAAAATCTTTAAAAAAAAAAACCATTTAATAAATAGAAATTAACAGCACCACAAGATGTGTTTCAATAAAGACTTACTTCACCTGTATATCTACAAAGTCTGGCTGACAAATCAGTCTTATAATATACCGCGTGAAATTAAGTTTAGTCTAATTTGTAGCCAGCGGTAAGCTTATTCTTTGTTGAAAAGCACCATAAGATGATAAAACTAAGAAGACATATACCTAAATTCTTGTTCACTTCAACTTCATTAACTTCGCGAGTTCCTAAAGTATACATGTATTAACTTCCCAGAACTAAATGCAAGTAATTTGTAACATCCAACTTTCCAGCTTCAGAAGAAGGTTTCTAATACTCTGAAGGAACTGAGACCAATGTTCTGGTCATGCGTTTATCAAGTTTTTCAGCGCAATAAATACTGCATTTCTTCGTCATTCTTAGACTGTTCCTCCTCACTGAATTTATGCACTGTTATTCGTACCTTACACAATCATTTGATTTTTAGAAACCTTGTTTTTTGCTAGCTTTCTGAATTTCTAATCAAGTATACTTTATAAAAATCAAAATTATTTTAGTATATCGATCACTGAATTAAACATTTTCTTTTTTTTCATTTTTAAAACATATCAGCCAAAATCAAACAACTGAAGCCTACCCACATTATACACAAATTTATTACTGCAAAATTAAAGCCATAAAGAAAGGCTGAAAAAAGATGTACACAGATAAATTTTATGAAAACCTAAGCAACTTTAAAACATATCAGTAACCCATTCATTTAGGTAATCTTATTTTTCTTGCAAATAATATAATAATACATTTGCAAAATAACTAAAATTACACTAAAATTACAGAATAAATTTAGGATTACAGACAACCACCTTTTACCAGTAAAAATGACGCTAAAACCTAAAAAAATCGTTTAATCAACCAAGTTCAAATATTTATTGCATTCTCAAAACTATAGAAAAAAATTTTCACTAACAAAATATGTTCCAAAAAAATAAAATAAAATAAATTATCATCTTCCTTTTTTTTTTTTTTTGCAAAAATTTTTTACGTATAGTTAAAATTTGTGTAAACATTTATAAAAACATAAATCACTTTATGCAAAAATGAACTATAAATAGTTTTTTTGCTCAAAACTAACAAATTTGTTTTATTTATGCATTGAATTTTATTTCCACAAAATTTTTCACGAGCTATAGCCTATTAAATTTTAATATTTCCTATCTTTTATGAAGCTTATTAGTCGATAAAAACGAAAAAAAAAAAAAACAGCGACAATTAAAATATGTGCATTAATTTAAAAAAGTTTAACGAATGCTTGAATATTAACCTTCAAAAAATTATTCTTTCTTATTCCCTTCATATAGATTTCTTTTTTGAGAGCCTATCAACCAAGAATTACACAATACCAACCTATAGCTAACCCATTTTTTAACTTCCCAAATTTTGACCATAATATACAGAGAGAGTAACGCTACGAATACCGCTGTTCAACCACAAAAATTCCATATTCCAAAAACCTATACAGTTATCTATACAGTTATCTAAAATGCATCTAACTTACGGGATTTTCAAACTGCTTAACCAAAATGTTCATGCAGACTTACTCGTTTGAATTTTCACAGAGTCTTCAACAAAAAATTTTAAGAATGAACCTTATATAGTACAGACAATGAAAATTTTAAACTGCTGGAATACATTCATGATTAAAACATTAAAAGAACTTTAAGAGAACATGTTACACCATATTAAACCTGTTCAAAAACCTAAGTGAAATATGCTTTTTTTTGCTGCTTACTTATCCTCTTCGCCGTTACCAGCTTTTTTTTCGGCTGAAAAAAAAAAGTAAAGATAAAAATAAAGATCTCATAAGCTAAAAACTCCAACGTGCTTATCAGTTTAAATATCGTCATAACATCAATGTTCATCTTTTACATGATTCATACAATTACTCATAATTTGATTAATAATTTCTCTAATTCACCCGGAACAACCAACCGATCTATATCAGAACTCACGGAAAAAAAAAACTAAGCCCTACCAAGATGCAAAACAGTGATAGTTTCGCCTAATTAGAAAAGTGCATTATGTATGCATCTTTAATCTGGCCTTCCTCTACTGCTGAGTTTGCTATTTGCATACCAAAATGAACAGCAGTTGCAGTGAAACGTCTTCCTCCCCTAAAAAAATTCAACCAATTAAATTGTCAGAATCTTTTTTTTTGGGCATAAAGTTTCTTCATCAGATTTCCGTCTTTTCATCTAGCCATTGTTTTTCTTCTACCATAAAGATTAGGTGGTAGATTCATCGGAATATAACAGCATGAGACATGCATACAAACACACACAAAAGCACTCGCATCAAAAAATTTTTTGGACAAAAAAAGCAGATGCGTATTTTAGAGTAAACTGTCGAGCAACAACAATTATATTAGTTCTAATAAAATTTGGATGCCAACAGATCGATGATCCAATGTTTAAAATGTGTTAGTGTAAAACTGATAAAAATAATAGTTCACAAAAATAACAATAATTTATGGGTGTTATTAATTTGGTGATAGGAGAATCAAAGTTAAGGAGAGTTAATACCAGTGGAAGAAATATAAGTTCTGTCAATTTTTGCGCATCAAACAAGCGGAAGACCTCTGACATTTTTTCTTTCACCTATTCCTACAAAGAATTGTAAGCGCTCTTTGGAATGTTGCCAACGGTAGCATTCTCCTATTTTTTACTCCGTATAGTACCACAAATTATGGATGTGAGCTGTTTTCCGTCCAATTGGTCATGTTACTACTAACCAAATTAGGTCAGTTATTATTTATAGTATTTAGTGAATGCATGTTGAATACCATATACGTTTGAAAAACTGGCAACAAACAATGAGAACCAGTAACACAATAATAAACACCGAGCATCGTGTGTTGATGATGATGATGATGATGATGGACGATGACAACGACGAGGACGATTACACCTCTTACTTGTTGTCATCGTTATCACCGCATCTTAAACATACGGCTGCCATTAATAACAGCAAAGTCTTTTGCAGTGATAGATTAGGCTATAATTGTCGGCACTTTTCTTCTGTTGTTATTGTAAAGAGAAACGGATGCAAGAAGGCAAATGGCTGATAAAGTTCACCCAGTTATTGTTGACTCATTTTATATATCCTGATGGACAATTTGTTAGCGTATTTGTTTATGTGTGTGTATGTATCTGTGCATATCTGTGCGTATATGTTTATATATATGTTTTTATGGATATATATATAATGGGAAATGCAAAATTTTTATTCGTTAGAAAGAAAATTGTTAAAGACTCCCTAAAGTTGGCACAAATCCAATCATATGATTGGTATTGATTGTGTCCGCTCAATTCTCTGTTAGACATTCGCTGAACCGCAGTCTGGGTTGGCTGGTTTTGCATAGTCGTTGACCAAGTCCTGTAGTTTTGTCCATTGTTATTTTTATCTGTTTAAGAAAGATGTGTTCTGGAATTTAATAAGTTTTTCTTTTTGTAATTGTTATCTGATTAGATTCCGCAATAGGAACTCATCGTTCCTCCTTCCTGAAAAAAGAAAAAAAAAAGTGGAAAGATTTGGTAACTCTCTGTTAGAGGGATGAAGAAGGAAAAAAGAAATAAAAAGGAAAGAAAAGAAAAAATGAAAGTCGAGAAGAAAAAAGAGACTTGAATTTGCAGATAATTGTTTTCGGATTTTGGTAGGTTTCTTTCACCTTGTTTTGCGCTAATGTTTTCGCTTTGTTGATATTTTGTAATTTTATAAAACACGCCAAATTGATTAGTAAATTTCACGTTTTTTTCTTCCTCTCTTTTTTAAATACTTTTTTTTTGTATGTTTGTGCGCGTGTGTATGAGTTTGTGTTTTCTTCGTTTATACACTGTTTGCAACATTTCTGAATTGTAGAACTTTTATAGTTAGTCAGTCGGCTGTCTGTGTTGCTTCGTATTTGAATGAAAATTGCTGTTTCCATTTTATTAGTTGATAAGAAGTCATTTACAGTTTCGATGGGGAGAGTTTTTCTGGAACATCTCGGTGGGAGCATGATTTTTTCATGCGGCCAATGTAAAGCATATTTGACCAATGAAGATGAATTGATCTCAAAGCATTTCACCGGTAAATTTATTGAAAAGAAATTTTTTCTTGATAATTGGGTTGTATTTTAATTTTTGAAGATGTTGATCAATTATTAGAACATCCGTTTGATATTTCATTTTCTTTATAAAACTGTTTACCACATTTAGGAATGCTATAGAATTGTTGGACTTTTCTTCAGTAGCATTTTTTTAAAGCCATTATTTTTCTCTGGTTTATGTTTGCTTCAGTTTTCGATGGTACACGTATTGCACCTCACCGTTTGAGTGCTGCCTTTTGTCGGTACTTCAAGTTTTTTTTATAAGTTTATTACAGTCAGATTTTCTGCATTTATAACTTAAACTTTTATATGTGTTTTTTTTTTTTTTTTTTTTT